CTTACGTCTTGTTATTTGATAAATAGAATGCCCTCTTCTTCTATTCAGAATCAGGTTCCCCATTCCATACTGTTTCCTCAGTCACATCTCTATCCTATCCCTCCTCGTGTCTTTGGGAGCACATGCTTCGTTCATAACTTAGCCCCAGGAAAAGATAAATTAGCTCCTCGTGCCCTCAAATGTGTCTTTCTTGGTTACTCTCGAGTCCAAAAAGGGTATCGTTGTTATTCACATGATCTTCATCGATACCTTATGTCTGCTGATGTTACATTTTTTGAGTCTCAGCCTTACTATACATCTTCTGATCATCCTGATGTCTCTATGGTCTTACCCATACCTCAGGTTTTACCTGTGCCAACCTTTGTGGAATCTACGGTTACTTCTACATCTCCAGTTGTAGTGCCACCACTACTAACTTATCATCGCCGTCCACGTCCAACCCTAGTCCCAGATGATTCATGTCATGCGCCAGACCCTGCTCCTACTGCGGACTTGCCTCCTCCTAGCCAACCGCTTGCACTTCAAAAAGGTATACGATCCACTCGAAATACTAACCCACATTATACCTTCTTAAGTTATCATCGTCTATCATCACCCCATTATGCATTTGTGTCGTCTTTGTCCTCTATTTCCATTCCTAAGACTAAAGGTGAAGCACTTTCTCATTCTGGATGGAGGCAGGCTATGGTTGATGAGATGTCTGCTTTACATAAGAGTGGTACTTGGGAGCTTGTCTCCCTTCCTGCAGGTAAATCTACTGTTGGTTGTCGTTGGGTTTATGCAGTCAAAATTGGTCCAGACGGTCAGGTTGATCGACTTAAGGCTCGCCTTGTTGCCAAAGGGTATACTCAGATATTTGGGCTAGATTATAGTGACACTTTCGCTCCTGTGGCTAAAATTGCATCTGTTCGTCTTTTTCTATCTATGGCTGCCGTTCGTCATTGGCCTCTTCATCAGTTGGACATTAAGAATGCTTTTCTGCATGGTGATCTTGAGGAAGAAGTCTATATGGAGCAACCACCTGGTTTTGTTGCTCAGGGGGAGTCTAGTAGCCTTGTATGTCGATTGCGCAGGTCACTCTATGGTCTAAAACAGTCTCCTCGAGCTTGGTTCGGGAAGTTCAGCACAGTAATTCAGGAGTTTGGCATGACTCGTAGTGGAGCTGATCACTCTGTGTTTTATCGGCATTCTGCACCAAGTCGATGTATCTATTTGGTTGTTTACGTTGATGATATTGTTATCACCGGTAATGATCAAGATGGTATCACCGATTTGAAGCAACATCTCTTTAAGCACTTCCAAACTAAAGACCTTGGCAGATTGAAGTATTTTCTAGGTATTGAGGTTGCTCAGTCTAGATCAGGTATTGTTATTTCTCAGCGCAAGTATGCCTTAGACATTCTTGAGGAGACAGGGATGATGGGATGTAGACCTGTTGACACTCCTATGGATCCGAATGTTAAACTTCTTCCAGGACAGGGGGAGCCACTTAGTAATCCTGAAAGGTATAGACGACTTGTTGGAAAGTTGAATTATCTCACAGTGACTAGACCTGACATCTCTTTTCCTGTGAGTGTTGTAAGTCAGTTTATGACTTCCCCTTGTGATAGTCATTGGGAAGCAGTTGTTCGTATTCTGCGATATATAAAGTCAGCTCCCGGTAAAGGACTACTCTTTGAGGATCAAGGCCATGAGCATATCATTGGATATACAGACGCTGATTGGGCAGGATCACCCTCTGACAGACGTTCGACATCCAGATATTGTGTTTTAGTAGGAGGTAATTTGGTGTCGTGGAAGAGCAAGAAACAGAATGTGGTTGCTCGATCTAGTGCAGAATCAGAATATCGAGCAATGGCGACAGCAACTTGTGAGCTAGTTTGGATCAAACAGTTGCTGGGAGAACTAAAATTTGGCAAAGTTGATAAGATGGAACTTGTGTGTGATAATCAAGCGGCTCTTCATATCGCATCAAATCCAGTGTTTCATGAAAGGACTAAGCACATTGAGATTGACTGTCACTTTGTCAGAGAAAAGATACTCTCGGGAGATATTGTTACGAAATTTGTGAAGTCAAATGATCAGCTTGCAGATATCTTCACCAAGTCCCTCACATGTCCTCGTATTAATTACATCTGTAACAAGCTAGGTACATATGATTTGTATGCACCAGCTTGAGGGGGAGTGTTAGAATAGAAATAAGTATTTCCTACTTAGAATAGAAATAAGAATAGGAATAGGAATAGGAATAAGAATAGGAATCCTAGTTGGAAAAGGATTCCAATGTAGTGTCTATAAATAGGGTCTCAATGTAACTATTTAGATACACAATTCAATAATATTTTTCGTATATATTTCTCACAGTCTTGTTAAACAATAACATTGTTTATGATGCAACATTGGCTTAGGAATCATCTAATTTGTCTGGATATCTGCTATGGATCTTAGCACTCTGTTTGGTGCTCTGGCATTTATGCACAGGCCTCCTTGTTGATTGTATCATACTGATGGGTAGTTTGTTTGCCGGTCCTCTGCGATGATGCTTTTTCATGTCTCCATTGTTCAATTTCAGATTCAAGGAGCTGCTAATAATGGTTGACACTTGCCAAGCTGCTACTCTTTTCTCGCAGGTGACTTTTGCCTTTTTAGCATTAATGTCATGTTTTTCTAACAAAATGTCCAATGACATATAGCTACTTCATATTCTTGCAGCATCCCGAAATAGTTAGTCCATATCAATTACCATAGGAAGTATTCAATGTAACGAACCAATGTTGGTCCATTCTCCTATTATTCTTGAAGTATCTAACGAAACTAATTCTGGTTTTATGTTGCTTGGTCTCCTTTTGAATCGATCTTTACTTTTGTTTTGTTAATTAAGTTATCTGTAAGTATCTCTAGGTAAATTTTAAATGTTCGCCACCTCTATCCTTCAAAATGCCAAATAATTTGACCTTCCCCAGTGTAATGGTTAGGAATGCCTATCTTCACTTACAATATATTTGCATGGCATGACTTAAGGATGGTAAAGATAAATCTTTTTGAAGACTGCCCTTGATGCAACAAAACTCAGTTGAAGGCGTGCTTCATTCATCATTTTATTGCAAATTAATACACATAGAGGATCAATATTCATGATTGGGCTGGAAATTCTGAATATTTTTTGCTCCTGAATGTGCTAAAATATCGTAGAATAATGAATGCTTATAAGTTTCTGGAATGAATCAGTTGCTGGCGGAATTTAGATTTTATTTGCCAACCATGTGGGACACAATATCTATCAGACATGTCCAAAAAATTCTGAGAAATGCCCATATTTCAATGCTTTTGCAAGTTCTTGAGAGACATCTGTAGTAATTAAGTTAGAGTTGCATGCTTTCTTTTATATATATAAAAAAGATTATGTTTGATGACAGCTGGCTCTTTGAACATGATAAAAAGTTAATGAGGAAATACCAGCTGTCAGCTATATTTTGGAGTAAGCTTATAGATTGGAAACTTTCAAATTCCATGCATTATTTTATAATTTTCTCAGTACCTTTATAACCATCTGAAAACTCATTTTGTTCTTTGATAGTCATTTCTACTCTTTATGGGATGCCTTCTTTTTTATCCCTCACAAAAGGGGTTACTGGTTAGGATGTCTTTTTAAATCAGGGCCACTCAATGCATAAGATGTTCTTACTTGGATTTTGGTAGAACTGAAATATATTTTGCCTTGTAGCTTCAATCACCTGGCGTATTGACTATTGGGAGTAGCATGAAAGGAGAAAATTCATACTCGCATCACTTGGATGCTGATGTAAGTATTAAATTAATGAAAATCCCTCATTTAAAATGCTTATTGCGTTCACAAGGGAGACAAATATGTTCTCCTTGTATTCAAAAAATTGTGTGGTTTTTCATCCTCCTTCCCTTCTCTGGTACAGGTTGGTGTCTCAGTTATTGATCGATTCACATTTTATACTCTTGCATTTTTTGAGAGGGTGAACATGTATGATAATGCCTCATTGGGCAGGTAATTGCATTTCATAGATGTAGGTGTAATACTGGGTCCTTTTCTTGATATTGTAGAATGTAAGTCACTTCTCTTGAAAATTATATATTGTATCACTACTGACATCAAATTCCAATCACTACTTGTTTGCTTTACATTTGTTATGGCTATACAAGTGCAAAGGTCTGTATATATGCTTCAAACAGGTGGATTATTCCTGTCTGGAGAATAGGCTGCGTACTCAAACCCAGCCCTACTTTTCACCACATATAACTTTGTAGCATGAGTTGCTTCATTGTCAAAGGGAGTCATCCAGTTGCATAGAAAGGTAACAGAGAAAGAGGGTATCTTTTTTAAAGATACAAACCAAAGAAGAAACAGGAATGGCTTTGGAATGGCCATGGATCAGTTATGAGCTTCACTTGATAATAAACATGCAGAATACGGTCCTTTAATTGAGAATCGTGGATAATTCAGAAAATTATGAAGGATGAATGTCTGTCTGTTCAAGTGTCTGACTGTGGCCTGGCCCACACGGATTTTTTTTAAAATCAAGTGGGAAGAGTCAGAAAATCACGTGGGGGGAGTCTCATCCAAGGAATTTAGATATCCATATCAAGTATGTACCTTATTAGGTTGGTTGTGGAAATTACCTTATAATTAGAAATGCTACTTGGATTATTGAAGTTTTTTATGCAAACCTTGGAACTGTAAAAATGCTACTGTGTTATAAAGGATCATTCAGATGATAATTGATTTGCCTGGTTCATGTCTTCGATAACCTACCTGGTCAATTCATACATGACATATGGACTCTACAGCATGGTCAGAACAACAGTACATGCAGAATACTCTAGTTTGAAAATGATAGCTGTCATTGGGTACTTGAATACTGGTGATCCCTGCTGTTGCATTAGACTATGCCTTGTGGATTCTAAAACTTCTGCATGCCTATCGCCCTCTTTTTCCTCTCTTGGCCTTCTCTTATTCAGAAGATGCTATGTGTTTTGGTTGTTGTTCTAAACTATGTCTGTTTGTCAATGTGCACTCTTTTTGATAGAATCTCCTTTCTCTTTTTCCTGTTGCAGTCTTTTCAGTTCATATAACCCAAATACGCTGATGTCAACTGCATATTATCGAACAGATCTATACCCTCGCCGACTAGAAGAGGTACCTAGTTAAAATTATTTTTATGTTTGTTTCTATGCGATTCAACTTTGCTCTCCCTCCCCCGAAGAAAAGGAAACAAATGGAAAGAAAACTCAACGGAAAAGAAGAAAGAAAGAGAAAAGTACCCTTCGGGGTGACCCAGTGGTTGAGACTTCCATGTTGGAGGTCTCAAGTTCGAAACCCCTTGCCAGCGAAAGCAAGGGGTTTGCCTTCTGGGTCGAGCTCGTCGCACCGGGCTTGCCTAGTGCGGGTTACCTCTCCTATGTGGTTTGCAAGCTATTGCATAGGAGCGGGGGTTTTACCCTGTGCACACCCAAAGGGTAGCGGCTGCGGGTTTCCCTTGTCATCAAAAAAAAAAAAAAAAAAAAAGAGAAAAGTAAAGGACTTGGTGGATATAGGATAAACTAGACGTAAGGAAAAGTTGCACTTAATTGGTCCATTTGATGTATAGTTGATTGGGTAAGAAGTTTAAGGTGTTAACTTGCATGATGGATTTGTAATAGTAGAGGAAATTTCCAACTTTAGTTGTAAATAAGTTAGTCTGATACAAACCTCCTCTTCATCTAAATGCTGTGCTCTTTATTTCTTTTAGTCAATTACCATGAGGGTTAACTGGTGTCAGAAAACTTGCTTTAGTATGTAGAGAAGTATTATAGGTGCTAAAGGTAAAAAGGGGCTAGTAGCACAAAATTTTACAAATCCTTATTCCCCTTTTATGTTCAAAATTGTAACAACAGATGGAGGCTAACAAATTTTGGTGAGCTGCTTTAATTTAAATGATTACCTGATATGGTACTTCTGGAAAACAATTACCTTATTTTGTTTTTGTCACATATTAGGGAAGGGGAATTTGATCTTGGTATTCTGAACTGATGCACCTTCGAACATATTTACTCTGTCACTGATAGGTACCCGTGACAAACTTTTTTGGTTCAGTCATGGAGACGATACACACTGATTCTGCATATAAAGCATTCGCTGGCAAAGACTCCAAGAAGTCTACATTAGAGATGCCTCTTCGGCAGTCCAGCCAAGACTTACGACGAACACTTGCAAGTTCAGATGTTCAGTATCCAACTAGTGACTCAAATGTTGAGGTCAGTTTTAATTGCCGCCTCTTTCTAAGCTCTTTGGAAACTTAATAGGCTATTGCCAACCCCATTTAGAAGAAAACAAAGTTTGATTAGGAATAATGCTACAGGATCCACAAGATTCCTGTCCTTTCACAAACTTTTGGATTTCTATGCATGGTAAAATGAACAAGGTTGAGGGTCTTGATAGCTGGGTGAACTATGGCTTGTTTTTGATGTTTCCAATGGTGGCAATGTCTTCTTGGATCTCGTCTTGAAGGTAAAAGAAACCTCCTTTTTGCTTCATATTCTCTTTGATAAGTAGTCTAAATATCAGTGGTAGCTATAAGGGAATAAAATCTCCTATACAAGGTGTAAACAAAGTTACATGTCACAACTATAGAACTGTTAGTTTATCCACCGTCTCTTTAAGTATCTACACTCCTATCCTGTGGACTCCAAAAATTACACAAGAAATAAGAAGATATTTGAGATGTGAAAAACGTTACTTTCCACCCCTTGAGGCTTCTTTATCTGAACTGTCTGCTTAAGAGCATGAGGGGGTTAATGCCAGATTCCGGCCTTCTCTTTGATGTTTCCTTTCAGCTTCTAACATGACGGCAGTTGGTTAGCCGATTCAGGCATTACAGAGCTGCCTTCAACCATATTGAAAATAAAATTACTCAATCTGTGCATCATGGTAACAATGGAGCCCTACATGGTTAGCATCGGCCTATTATATTTGCAAAGGAAGCACCTGCTCATGGTAACACACTGACTATACCACCAAGTACTTGCTACCTCCCACTTTCTTCCATCGAGGTTAGACAGATGAAAGCATCTAGTGTTTTCCCTAGTCTTCTATGGTTCTCATACCACCTCAGTGACCACTATGCCTCACACTTGAGTGCTGATTTGTGCTAGGATCTAAATCTGCATCTATCTTCTGCTGTTCTTCCAACCTGTATAGTTTCTACATTTCTCTCTGAGTTTTCTTGACATTTGAACCATTCTTTTTTCAGTTTCAGAAGTGGAGACAAGACATCAAATGGATACTCTGATGGAGCACCATGGTCCTGCGTTGTTTCATTTCCATGTTTGTTGAAAACGTTGGCCCGGTGGAAGCTGTTCTATCTGACCAAAAATACGCGAGCAACTAATTGAGGCACCACCTTTGCACTGCAAAATAGAAACTGCAGAAACTCTTTGACAAATAGTGCTATGTAGAAATTCTTCCTTAAGTTCTCTGATTTGGGAGACATCAAATAGTTGAGCTATTAATACTATACCATTCCATATGGTTTGATTTTTACATTCAGTTTAGGTTTTTCATGACACGGTAAATCGGTAACCATAATTAAATTGAGTTCAACTTACATGTTATACTCATATAATAGAGATATGACTTCGACATTTCAAGAAATGCCTCAATTATATCATACTAACACTGTATGTATATAAACATTAAAAAAAAATGTAAGCAATTCCCTTCGTTAATCAATTATAAAAAAAAAACATTTCAATCAAGATAAATAGTTAAAATTTCTATGTCTTAACAATTAGTTTGTATTACCAACATGAGTTGTGGTGCACTGGTGGGAGTGTTTCACTCTTAACCAGAGGTCTCGGGTTCGACCCCTGGGTATGGAGAAAATCATGTTGGGAGCGCCACCTTTGAATGGGCCCTACAGAGCGTGATTCAAATTTAGTTGGAGTTCCAATGTGGGCTTTGGACACCGGGTGGAAAAAAAAAAAACAATTAGTTTGTATTAATACTAGTTTATATATTTGTTAGTAACTATAAGTACAAGTGTATGAAAGAATATATAGTCTTGCTAGCTTAAGATCTTGGGAGTGAAGAATAATAATAGTGTTGATGCTAAGCATTCATAATTCATATTCAACTTGACATGTAGAAAATGCTTACTCTTTTTTATTGTAGTCAATAACTATGATGATTGTCCTCACCTTGACCAATTTCACAAAATGTCTGTCACCTTCCATCACGAATAGGTATCAGATAACTCTTTCCTAGATCGGAAAGAGAGAACAACCAATGTTAATTGGCATAAGACCCCTAGGATGGAATTTTCTACCCAATGTGTCTCGCTAGCATTCTTTTATTCATATTCAATGTAGCACGTTAAACGACCTTATTCTATTAATAGCTTGGCTTGGTCTCGCTTTCTTGCTAATGAAAATTCTAGCTCTGTCACGTTAGAATACCTTATTCTACTAGTAGCTCGACTTGGTCTTGCTCTCTTCCAATAATATTCTTCTCCACTAAAATAGAGCATGAGAATCTCAATAACCTTTGTGTATACTAATTTTTTTAAAATTTACATATCAAATACCATACTTCATACTCAATTACCAAAATCGCAATATGAAAAATTTGATTTCAATATGATAATTCGATATCTCTATCGTATCGTAGCACGCCAACCAAACAACCCCTTAAATGGATAAACCCTGCAATAAGGCAAAAACTTCATCTCCTTCACTCACCATTAGCACACTGGAAAATGCTATCTTCAGTACAAACTCCTCGTCTTCTCCGTTTCCAATCCTTCTCTCTCAAATGCCTCCACACCCACCCCACCACTACCCCACCACCCCCACATTCCCAAATCCTCACAATCCGCAAATCCCTTTTATCCCGTGAAATCTCAGCCGTTGATCTCGCCGGAACTTTCTTGAACCGGTTACGTAATACTGAACCCCACCTCAAGAGCTTTCTGTATGTATCCGACGTCGTATTGAAGGAAGCTGAGGAGATTGATAGGAAGATTGCGGAGAATGAGGAATTGGGTCCGCTTGCTGGGGTTTTGGTTGGGGTTAAGGATAATATTTGTACTTCTGATATGCCATCAACTGCAGGGTCAAAGATTTTGGAAAATTATCGACCCCCTTTTGATGCTACTGCTGTTGGGAAGATGAAAAAGTGTGGTGCCATTGTTATTGGGAAAACAAATATGGATGAATTTGGTATGGGGAGTACTACTGAAGGCTCGGGTTATCAGGTATTCGTTAAGTTTTTCGTGTTCCAGAATTGTTATTTACTGAAGAAATGGGTTATTTTTTGTTTAAAGCAGAATGAGGAAATGATATTGTTGAAATGAATTGAGGGTCGTTTAGTTCATGGACTAGATATGTAGGATACTAATTCCAGGTAGGAATTTGAATTAGTAACGCAAAGTTCTGTACCGAAAAGCAAATGTTGTGCTGGGAGGTTATTTACCCTTATACACCAAATTGAACGAACCCTGAGTTTTTCTGAGTGCTCTTGAATTGAACTTTGAAACTGGGGGGACATGCTATTTGGTGTCTGGACTGTTTTAAAGTTTGCAGTAAGTTGAGTTGTACTTGAACATTTTGTTGTCGGGTGGGCTTCCTAAGGTCTGCTTCTGTTATTGAGGTTTGGTGTTTGTCAGCAAAAACAATTTCAAGTTCCCTTTTATTTCCTTTTAATGTGGATAAAGTTTCCATCTTTATCTCAGCAGCCTCATTTGTTTGGGGTTCTGAATTGAATATATCTAGGTGTATGCATTAGAAGGGATAGAGTGAATGCTCTACCATGTTGAATATGTAAGTAGGTTCAGTTTCGTAATCTCAGGTAGAGTATGGCGTAAATGTAATTAAAGAATCTATTTGAACGAGTCCAGTTTGTAACTTTGTAACTTAACATGGTTTACTCAGGTGATGCATCTTGGTATTATTAGGTGACAGCAAATCCTTGGGATTTGTCCCGGGTACCAGGTGGTTCATCAGGGGGCTCAGCTGCAGCTGTTTCTGCTAGACAATGTATGGTATCATTGGGAAGTGATACTGGTGGAAGTGTTAGGCAACCAGCATCTTTCTGTGGTGTTGTTGGTCTGAAGCCAACATATGGGCGTGTCTCCAGATACGGACTTGTGGCATATGCTTCATCTCTAGATGTTATTGGTTGTTTTGGTTCATCAGTTGCTGATGCAGGCATTCTCCTTCATGCAATTTCTGGTCATGACAAGTTTGACGCAACAAGTAGTAAAAAAGTAAGCTTTCTATACAAGTTCTTTTTTTTTCATTCTTTCTGTCAAGGTTGTGAATTATTCAGCAAGCTCCAAGAAAGTACTAAAGCCAGTACAAAATAATGGACTTTTTCAAGCTTACCTCACAAGGGAGTCAAACAAGTCCATAGCATATCATACTAGCTAACAAAAGATTCTTTAAACTAAAGCACTAAGTTCTGAATGCATCTATCTTTTATACAAGCAATAAAAGATAATTTATAGTTACATAAATATCTATAACTTCTTCTTTTTTTTAAATGTTTTTTAAAAAAAAAATTGTGCCTAGATAAATCGAGACGGAGGGAGTAATAATAGAGAGTCCTTTCCATTGAAACATCTACTACTCCTTTCTAGTTGTACTCTCCATGCAATGCAATGGACAGTGGTCTTCCACATCTTATAACATGACGTACCAGAGAACAATAACAATCCATTACTGTATCTGAGAATCCTCCCGCGTTCAATCAACTTAGCCTCCTGAAGTTTCTTCAGACAAGAACCCATCTCAGTAAATTTTCCAGTCAAGTAACCTTCTTCTGTAACTTTATAAGGAGATCAAACAGATTTTGGTTTCAAGAACTCGTTTTTGCCATATTTATTAACAATGACATTCTTCTAAGTTCTATTGTTAGTCTATACAAGCTCTTTGCTTGCTATACTTCATGACTCCTCCTAGGATTTTTTTTCTATTTAAAAAGAGGAAGAGAACATCTCTAATAAGTTTATTCATTTTGACACAGTTGATCTGCTATGTTTGTAATGAATACGAAGAAGTTTGACATACAATGCCAGCGGGAGTTAGTTCTATGTTTTTAACGAGTGGCTGGGCCAGTACCTTACCTGCTGATCTCTTATTGGTGTAAATTAAAACGGATAGATGATAGTGAAATCATTGGAACTTTTGTATATATGGTCAGAGTCTTACATTTTCGGGTTCTGGTTTGCTTAGTTTTTGGATGTAATGACAGAACTTTCTTAGTGCTGGCTTTTGACATCAATAATGCTTACCATTTCGAAAAACGATTAGCTGGGGTAGTAGCGTAATATGATCTGATTCAAGTCTAATAAGAGTTTGTTGGCATTTCCTTCTGATATGAAGGCGCAACATTGTTTATATAGCCTGCTAGTGGTGTATATTTAAAGGTTTTGCTTTAATTATTTGACAACATTACTTTTCAGGAAGTTCCCGATTTTGCTTCCCAATTTACTGCAAGAGATCATTTGGACTCTAAACCTCTGAAAGGACTGAGAGTTGGTCTGATCCGGGAAACCATTGAAGATGGAGTTGACCCAGACGTAATTTCTTCAATCCGTGGTGCTGCGAGTCATCTTGAAGAACTTGGATGCACTGTCACTGAGGTATTCTTCATTTTCAGTATTTATGACCCTCACGCTGGCTTACCATATGTGTTGGCATTCCTTATTTGAATTATTTGGTAATTTTTGTTTTTGCAGGTCTCTTTGCCATCCTTCTCTCTTGGATTGCCAGCTTACTATATCCTTGCTTCATCCGAATCTTCTTCAAATTTGTCCCGTTACGATGGTATCAGGTAATGGGGTATAGAATCATTCTCAAAATATATGTATGTATATAAAATTCTCAAAAAGTGCAGCGGAGAATATTATTTGCATCTGACCTTTCCTTCCCATTCCTCAGAGAAAATATAAAAATAGCGATAGAGAGGATAGATGTCTTTGGATCTATTGGAAATTTGGCTACCATCATAGCTTTTATGCTGATGAATATGCTGTTACCATTATCAAAAATAATATAAGTACATAACAGCAGTACTATCTTCAGTTCTGATATTTCTTAGGACTCCTCAGCCCTAACCCTCAGTTTTGGTAGCCAAATTGAAGGAGGATAACTAAGTAATTTCTTGTTAATTCCTAACATTTAAAGAGAATAGAAAGTAGTGAGGAGTGCCCATGATGAATTCGGACGGATATATTCTTTTAATTACCCCTTACTTGTCGCAAGAACTAAGAATTCACTGCCATTTTGCTAAGAGAATAGGTGGATACCAACCATAATTTAGACAAGATGTAATTGCGAGACTGCCTTACATTAGTAATGACAAAACTTTCAATGTTTGCTCAAAATTTTTTCATGAAGACCCAAGGAATAATGTGATGTCAAAAATGCAGGTATGGGAAACAAGTTTTTGCTGATGAGTTAAACTCCCTTTATGGGGAATCCCGTGCCGGAGGCTTAGGTTCTGAGGTACTAAGGAAAAGAACTTTTCTGTGTGAAGTAGTTCTATAGTGGTTACTTCTAAAAGGGGTCTCCTGCCTTTCTTTCTCGTAATCTTTTCATGCAAGCTGGCCCCGACACACAGTCAAAAAGAACTATTGGGCTAACTGTATTAAATGTCTTTACAGGTGAAAATGAGAATCCTAATGGGGACCTATGCTCTGTCTGCTGGTTATTATGATGCATATTACAAGCGAGCCCAACAGGTTGTACATCTATGTGCTCAGAATTGTCCAACTCCTCATAGCTATTAAAGTTTAAAAATGCAAAAACTTTATTGATATTCTCATGCATCTCAAGATAATTGATACTAATATAAGCCAATCAGAACTAAGTAATATTCAATAACTTTAATGATTCTCTTCTGTATCTCTGAATAAATGCTTACACAAGACATTCTTCACGTTAGTTATTCATTGTGTCTCTAACCGTGAAGTTCTAGATCCAAAAAATTTGTCAAGCGGAGTTTGGATCCTACATGGCAGTTAGAACCAACTATGTTTGGTTGACGCATCTAGTAGACTTTTTGCACCTCTCATCATCTAGCAATAATTCATATTTTAATGAGTTATGTGACCCCAATTTACGAGTGTTTGATAATTTCTTGCTTATCTTAATTCTTCAAGATGTTAAAGAGTGACTCTGTTCCAGGTTAGGACTTTGGTAAGGGAAAGCTTCAGGGCAGCATTAGATGAGAACGATATTTTGATTTCTCCTGCTGCACCATCAGCAGCTTACAAAATTGGTACACTTCTTTTAGCTTTTGCATTTACTGATGAATCTACTTTGTGATCTTGCTTAAATACCTTTTTGTTTTCTTTCCTTTTTGTCCCATGATCCTTCCCTTGAAAGGCAACGCTAACTCTCACTACAACATGTGGAATTTACAGGTGAAAAGAAGAACGATCCGTTGTCAATGTATGCTGGTGATATTATGACTGTAAGTAGCTTTTTCTTTTTGCTTCTTACATTTCTCTTGGTGATTTTCTTTCCTATTTTCCCCTCTAGTCAGATGGATGATGTAACTTGTTCAGTCTATTTTCTGTTCTCTTCAATTGATGATTATTTTCATAATTGGCAGGTCAATGTCAACTTGGCTGGTCTTCCAGCATTAGTTCTCCCGTGTGGATTTGTTAATAGCAGTTCTGTGGCCCTTCCCGTTGGTGTTCAGATGATTAGTGCTGCATTTGAAGAGGTGAGTTTCAGTACTCCAACTATTTCCAGTTGTTATTCCAGTGTTAAGAATGATACTTGAGCACGGGGATAGTTCAACTTATCTAGATCTCTCTTTTGAGAAAAGTTAGAAAGGTTGGTAAAAGAGGGATGATATATCTACTTAGCTTGAAAATGGAATTGAGTTAAACTTGAGCATCTTAAATAGAGGCATTGAATATATCCACTTTTTGTATGACTGTAGAAATGAAAAATGGATACTATGAAAGGACAAATGTTCAAATTTAATGCAAGCAAAACTGAAGAAGTAGAAAATGATTAGAAAAGAAATAAAAACACTACGTAGTTTAGATTTTTAAATCATTTTAAACCTTATCTCACATGGTTTCTAGCTATGTTGCTCGGGCTCTCCAAAATGAACTACTTATATGCCTTCACTTCTTGCTTTTCTTTTAGCGTGCTTGCTTTTATGTTTACGTACTAAAATGAATGCAGGAGAAATTGCTTAAAGTAGGCCATATCTTTGAGCAGACACTGCAAGGCTGCTCTTTTATTCCTCCTCTAGTAGCTGATGAATTGGCATGCTAGTCGTGAATTCTTGTGCGCGGTTATGTTCCAGTTAATCAATGTAACGATTTCATGAAAAGTGCTTGCCATGGTGCAAAGCTCTGTCCTGACAGGAAAGACGACAAGTTCGTCTATCTAGTATCAAATGATCCACCAAACCTTCCGTGCTTGTGCCACTGTTTCCAAACGAATCGTTACGTTCAGAAAACTTTCTTGTGCTGGTTTTTTTTAGGAGGATTGGCGTATAAAGATACGCACCAATCGAAAATTCATAACAACTCTCAATATCTGAGATACTTGTAGCTTATTGCAAGCAAATTCTTTTTGTAAATTAGCATGCATCAATTTTGACACTTTGATGCATACATTTATGTCATCTGGCCCTATTTCGGGATGGTCTTTAATATTTGCCCTTGCTGCTCATTCAATGAAAATTTGTCGGTCAAAGTACCTTTATCTTGCGGCATAAGTTTAGAGGATTGTTTTGCCATGTCTGGCATAAATTGCATAAGTTATATAGCATCTAATTTGCTTTGAATTAGTTTAGAAATATTTGGTGCTTAACATAACTCTGAAATCTGAAGACACAGTGGCATAAAATATTGAAAATCGAACACTGCATCGAATTGAACTGAAATTTTTGGTAATTCGGTATGCGATATGGTATTCGGAAGAAAATTTAGAATTATGGTATTCTGATTTAGGTTTGGATTTGATATGAGACATTAGTACTACTTGGTATCTGATATTTTTCGGAATTATTTATGTAATGAAGGTGTCATATATCAACATGTCTATTAATATTTACTCATTAGTTGTATCATTTGTTTTCTTTATATATCTTCTTACGTATTGATCTTCTATTTGTGCACCCATATAGAAAAATAGAAATAATTGGAGCAATAGTATTAACTTTGCAATACAATTGACTGCAACTTCAATACAATATTACCGAATACCATATCAAACTGAAGTTTAATTTACCGATTACCTAATTACCGAATATTACTACCCAAAAATTGTAAAATTTCAAATCGAATATCAAACCCTCACTCTTAGATATAACTTCTTCTTTTTTCCCTTTCTAAATCACCTCACAATTAGGTGAGAATTGAAAGGGAAAAGACAGGTAGTAGGCAAGACCATGACGACAACAATATCTACAATTATTACTTATTGCTCCCTCTCTGTCCCAATTTATGTGGTATTTTTCATTTTTCGAGAATCAAATAATTTAAGTTTGACCTGAAATTACACATGGAATCTTCAATTTTTTTAAATGAAATTTATATATTTGTAAAATACGTAAAAAGTACTATAAGTCATAATAATTGATAATTCAAAATGTTTAAAAGATCTATGAAAAACTTACGATAAAAGATAAATTTGTTTAAATTTTGAAATTCGAAAAGTGTCACATAAAATGGAACGGAGAGAGTACTATTTATTATTATTGTTATAAGTACTGTTTTCCCCCACGTGAGGACTTTGACATTACTATGTTTTTTTTGTCATTATAATAATAATAATAATGACAGAATGAGATACTTCATTGAATAATATTTGAATTTAATGTAAAAGCTAGTAGTTTTTTAAATTTTTTCTTCACAATATTATTACTGTTTGGCCCCCTTTTTAGCATCAATGAGTATTTATATTAAATTTCCTACAGTAGCATTGCAGTGTGTATACTGTTTCCTCAATGCTTGATGTGTTTAAGCTATGAACAAAGGGACCATTTCCAAATATACAATGTGGACAAAACTGCAAAAAAAAAAAAAAAAAACATAATACATAAACAAGACTCTTAACTTGGCTTCAACGAATAACTATTTCCTCTAACTTTGAATGTGCACAAGTAAACACTTAAACTTGTATAAAATTGAACAAGTAGACACAAGTGTCTTACATGGCACAATACACGTGGGACGTCATGTAGGACACAACTGCCTTATAGGGTGCCATGTAGAACGAATGTGTCAATTTGTTCAATTTTATACAAGTTTATGTGTCTACTTGTGCACACCCAAAGTTAAAGGTCATAGTTGTCAACTGACGTCAAGTTAAGGATCATGTTTATATATTATGCCAAAAAAAATTCGTACTAATCTGAGATAATTCGGACATGTGAAGAGCATAATAGGAGACGTATGATTATTTCAATACGAACGTGTGAGAGTTTGGTTATGGATGATTTTATGAGATGTAAAGGTAGGTCGGAGAAGTATTGGTGAGAGGTGATTAAACATGGCATGACGCAGCTTCAGCTTACTGAAGATATGATTTTATATAGGAAGTAATCTATGGAGGATAAGAATAAGAGTAGAAGGTTGATAGGTATTTAAACGTTGTTTCGTTTATCCTTATTTTATACAAGTAATCGTAGTATTACTCTTGTAATTTCTTGTTTTTCGAAATAGGGATAATTAAGGATTGCATACATACACACTGGCCTTTTCAGACCTCACTTATAAAATTACACTGAGTTTGTTATTGTTCTTTTGGTATTAACGGGTGTGCGTCAATTCACCCTTCACTTAACTCCGCCTAAGTGGAGCCACCTTACATGATATGTGGTTTGGTGCATACCCTTAAGTCGATTTTTTTTGAGATATACATAGATTTAATGTTAACTATTATATGTGTATATATATAATTTTACACAGTTTTTATCAAATTTCTGACTCTGCTACTCGGTGACTTATAAGTTTATTAATGCTATAATAGTTGACGAGCACCTTTTAATATTTTCTTTCAATTGTTTTAATATATTGGAATCAAGGTAGTGACTTTTTAGTAATTATATTTCTTCACAATATAATTATTGTTTGGCCCCATTTTTAGCAATGATATATTTACAAAAGGGGCCATTTCCAAAGAACACAATGTGGACAAAACTGTATAATAAATACAAATAAATATGAAAAACTATATATTATAATTGATGGTGTCCTTTGTGACAAGTGATTGAGGTGAAAAAATACCAAACACACCCACTATATTTTTCTCAATGAGTATTTACTAAATTTCCAACAGTAGTAATTATATTTGTGTACATTATTTCCCCAATGTTTGGTGTTATAAAGCTAGAAAAAAGGGACCATTTCCAAAGAACACAATGTGTACAAAATTGTAATCAATTAATGAACAATATAATAAAATACTTATATTAATTCTTATTTTTTAATAAGCATATAAAATTTAAAATGAATAAATATACCATATACATGAAAAATGGTGTAAATAATTGATGGTCCTTTGTGACAAGTGATTGAGTGAACATTACTTGCACTCCAATTGGGAAATAAAAAAGCATAGATAGTAGCATTTGTTCCTTTTCCACAAAAAAGAGAAGGCAGATTAATTCCTTTCATAGTATAGGCCCCTTGTTATTTCGAGGAGCGACTCAATAAGGTTAGTGGCTTAAATCAAATTTTTAATAAGAATTTTATTATTTTTTTCAAAAAAAAAACATTATACATATTCTTATTAAATATTAAAGCTTTTTGAGATATTAAATTATTAATAATCTTCCCATTCATAGTAAGGGTTTAAGGGGAGTTATTCCCTTTCTTCGGTTCTTGCTCGTGGTCTTGAGTTCAAGCTTCAGAGTGAAAAAAAAAATTGCTAGAAAGAGCCTCTTTAATCGGTCATGTGTGGTGCAAATTTAAATTAATCAGAAAATTCAATACAAATATCAAACATTGAGTGAAAGACAAAATTGAGGCCTAAAACATACCCTTACTTTAGTAGTTTAATCCTCTGGTCCGTCCTGATTATTCAATATTTAACGAAAATCAAAAGTGTTAAATTTTAACAAACTTAAATGACTCAAATTTTCAAAAACACATCCAAGGGACCATTTTTATCTTTTTTTTTTCATGAGAATTTATTATACATCTCAAGTAGTATTGAAGTGTTGTACATTATTTCCTCAATGTTTGGTGTATTTAAGCTATGTAAAAAAGGGACCATTTCTAAAGACCACAATGTGGACAAAACTGTAATGAAACTTTGGATAAAGGCTAATTTATAAATATACCATACATGAAAATAGTGTATTTAATTGATAGTCCTTTTTTTGTGACAAGTGATTGAGTGAACATTTACTTGCACTCCAATTGTGAATTTTGGAAAAAGTATTGACTTTTGCTTTTGTTCCTTTTCTACAAAAAAGTGCTATGTGGAATATTTATTTATTCCTTTTAGAAATGGTTCAACCCCCACCCCCACCCCATAACCCTCTCAATCTATTATATATGTATAGTTTAGAAAAAGTACCATTAAAATATATGGTGCAGTGAATAAGACTGTTTTTCTAATCTCTTGATTAGAAATCTTGATATTGTGTTATGAGTATGAAAAAGTCTTTCATATAGAATATTTTCCTCGAATGGGCTTTATGAGGGGCAAAATTGAATTAATTGAGTTACTCCAAACATCGGATAGGAATTATTTTATTTTTAAAAAAAAGGTATAAATATGATACTTCCTTCGTTTCAATTTATGTGACGTTTTTCAAATTTTGAGATTCAAACAAGTCTATTTTTTACCGTAAATTTTTCATACATCTTTTAAATATTTTAAATTGTCAATTAATGTGACTTATAGTAATTTTTACGTCATTTATAAATATCTAAATTTCATTTCAAAAAATTTGAAGATTTCATGCGTAAATTGCCGGTCAAAATTAAACTGTTTGACTCTCAAAAAATGAAAAGTATCACATAATGTAGATCATGTCGAAACTACCCATTAGATATAGGTTTGAACGAATTCACTAGCCTTTTACTATATAAATTACTAAATACATATTTAATAACAGGTCAATGAACTATGAATTCAATAATAAATTCAAAATACATCAACTTTAAATTACAGATCCGTCTCTATTAATATATATATAATATACATGTACTTGAGTGCTACCATAAACCATTCACCCATAGTTGGTTATTACAATAGTAGTGAAAGTAAATAAGGTAAGAAATTATGATCATGTAAGTATATAGGACAAAAATTGCAGCTAGATATATTTGAAAAATGTTATATTTTTTTTTTATAAAATAAATAATTACTAAATGATATAAGAGACTAGAATTTGGTACTGAAGAAGAAGTGGCATCCAACAGCTAATTTTCAGTCTTTTTTTTTAAAAAAAAAAACAATTAATTAAGTGTCCTTTTTCTGTTCTGAAGGTCTGGTTTCTTCATTACACTGTCCCTACACAAAATATTGTGGCTGTTTGCACAATATTATTTTGAAATATATTCGTTCACTCTTGTATTTCTTTCAAATCATGTTTTGAAAAAAATCTAGAATTAATCGAAATATTTTTTTTACTTGACAATAATAAGGATAAGGTTTATGTATATGTTAGTATTATTTTTAGATTTTATTTACACTGAACATGTTATTGTAATATCATTTGGTCATGTGAGAACAAAAGTTTCATAATAGAAGTTGATCAGATTATTGTTTTTGAGTGAAAAGATCAAAGATACGTCTAAAGTATCTAGGTTTCTTAAGTTTCATATCTAAACTATTAGGTTTCTGAGTTTCCTTCCTGAATATCATTAACTATTTTTCAAAACATACATCAACTATCACTTGTTTTTTTTCCCACTTGAACGATACTGATATTTCAGATACAAAAAGAAAATAACTGATAATTAGTGATAATTTAGGTAAGAAAAAATCACACACTTGATAATTTAGGTATATTAACTCATTTATTTTGGCCCTTTTTCCCTTGGTTGAATTATATAGTGAATGATTGACATAATTTATTTTTATTTTATTTTATTTTATTTTTTTATTTTTTTGGTAAACTAAGGCATACGCATAATATTTTATACAGAGAGACAGCTCACCAATGTATGACTCCTTTTGTCTGTGCAAATAGTTAGCTGCACAGACGTGACCTACAAAGTTAGATTTATTGGGATCATAAAATTGCCCAAATAAAGTGTAACTATGTTTAATCTTTTGATCATGCAATAAAGTGTAAATGAATGGCATGATCATGAAGATGCTTTCACTTTAAATATGATTAGTGATTGAATGTATAAGAATAATAATATTGATATTAGATATAATGCGATTATTATTCTTATATTAGTAATAATATTGATATTAGATATAATGTGATTATATCTAATATATTGTTTGATTCAGGGGCGGAGGCAGCATACATTTAGGGGTTGTATTCGAATCTCCTTCGACAGAAAATATTACTATTCATACATGGTTAAAATTATTTTTTAGGTATGAATAATAGATGTCAAACCTCCTTCCACTAGTTCATATGTTTACTTCTCAGATTTTGAACCCCCTTATTAAAAATTATGGCTCCGTCACTGATTTGATTTGATATATTAGTAATATGTATTGAATCATCAAATAATATTGATTAAGACATAATAAATGACATGAGTAAATACATATATTGAATTTAAGATGTATGCTGAAGAACGTTTATGCCATCGATGAATTTTAACTTGTGAAAATAAGTAATCCTTACGTTCCATTTTATGTGACATATGTCGAATTTTGAGATTGAAACAAATTTATCTTTGACGTAAATTTTTCATAGATCTTTTAAGCATTTTGAATTATCAATTATTGTGACTTATAGTACTTTTTACGTATTTACAAATATATAAATTTCCTTTCAAAAAAATTGAAGATTTCAGATGCAAATTCTCGATCAAACTTAAATTATTTGACTCTCGAAAAATGAAAAAGTTTCATATAAATTGAAACAAAGAGAATAGTATTTATTAAGAAATTTACTTATAACGACTTAACAAATAACTGGACAATATTTTGTGACGAAAGAAACACCTTTACTAGAAAGAATCAATAATACAAACAAAGAATAAATCCTCTTAGGATATACATAAGAGTAAATATTCAGAGTGATTATATCTTAAGACATAAATAAAAATAAAATAATCAAGCATTCATCCTAATTAGTCCAATATTCTTTTAAGAGACGTGTAAATAAAAAACACGATAAATATTTTGAGACGGAGGGAAACACCTTTTACTAGAAATCAAAGAATCATCAATAATACAACCAAAAGCCTAAAACAACAATTCTAAAACACACAAAACACAAACAAGAAACAATAATGATCTAACAACTCCACATGAAGCTTCACATGATCTATTCTTCTTCAATGGCATAGTTATAGTATTACTACTACTCCCACACACATTAACTCCAACATAAACTCCTTCATGTTGATTCATCAAACATAGCCCTGGATTTCCACTTAAGTCCAAATTCCTTCCAAGTCTTTTCAAAAAACTTGAATTGAATGGCACAACACCATCTAACAAATTTCTACTCAAATTCAAGTGATACATATGTGATAATCTTGAAAACTCCACCGGTATCTCGCCTGTTAATCGATTGTTTTGTAAAGACAACGTAGTTAAGTTCACGAGTTGTGAGTAACTTGATGGTATTTCCCCTGAGTAACCTGAACTTGAAAGGCTCAATTCTTGAAGTTTATGTAATTGACTCAATTCATCAGGCAATGTTATGAACATCATTGGATTGTCATCCATGAGAAAATATTGAAGTGCTTGAAGTTTATGCATCCCATTTGGGAAATTGCCACTTAACTTGTTGTTACTAAGTGCTAAGAAGTTTAAAGATTGTAACTTTTCTATTGTTTGAGGGATTTTGCCTGTTAATGAATTTGAGCTCAAGTCAAGTTTTTGAAGAGATTTGAGAAGGCCAATTGTGGATGGGATTGGATTTGTTAATGAATTGTAGCTTAAGTCTAAGCCTATAAGATTGATGAGATTGCCAATTTGGTATGGGATTTGTCCTGTGAGGTTGTTGTAGCTTAAATCAAGATGAATAAGTGAGTTGAGTGTGAAGATTTGTTGTGGGATTTGTCCAAGAAGATTGTTTTGTGACAATGTGAGGATTTGAAGTGATTTAAGTGATGAAATTTGAGGTGGGATTGTGCCAATTAATGATGGATTTGATCTTATACTAAGTTGTTGGAGAATTCTGTTTTCTTGAATAGAGATTGTTGTTTTTGTGTGTGTGAAGCATTGGATAAAGAAGAGAGATTCAAGATTTGGAAGTTGGAAAATGAGTGAAGGGAATGTTGCTGTTTTCTTGCAAATGGGGTTCGGATATGTCCCAAAATCAAGCCTAGTGACATGGTAAATGTTGTTGGTGTTTTTTTTGCACTCAATTCCAAGCCAAGATGAACTTTGTTGGCATGGATTTGGATATGATTTTCTCCAACTTTGGTCACTGGAAATTGATTCCATGATCTTGTAAAGAGTTTCTAGTTCATGAGGATTCATGTTTGGTTGTGTGAGATTGTTGATGTTTGCTACATTGGTTGAGGAGATAGAAGGGGGGGTGGTAGATAGGAAAAACATGAGTAGTAGAGGAAATAAAAAGAGTTTGAATGGATACATTGTATTTGTTGTAAAAGTTTCTTCTGATCAATTGTTGGAGTTCTATTTTGATTTTTTAAGAAAAGAATCATTTTTATGCAAGAACTATTTGGAGGGTTAGTGGTGGTGGGGGGAGGGGGGGGGGGGGTAGGCTTAGAGATGTGGCTGATATGATGGGTGGGGGAGAGTGGGGACATGATCTTGAGTGAGAGTAGAATCATTTATGCAAGAAATGTTTGGACTTTATAGGGTGTGGAGGTTTGGTGTCATTAGGAGATTCGAGGCGGAGCTAGAATTTTAGTTAGGATGCGGCTTACCTTATTTATCTAAATTAAATATTTTACCTTATAATAATAATAATAATAATATATCCAGTCTAGAAAGGGTAGAAGATAGAGTCAATACATCAAAAATGATCTTTGGCAGTAATTAATTAATGACAATAGCTTAATTGTTGTTAAATAATTATTTTAGCTACAATTAACATCCTTTGTAAGTGTCTTTAAAGTCTAAGATGATAATGGATCCAATGTCAATTAACTAATGTTGATAAAAACTTTAGCACTCTTTGTAATGTATATATTTATTGCCGCTAAAAGTTGTTTTTGTTGTTGTGAGTCTACTAAGAGATAAAGAGGTTGTTTTCGATAAATCTTCGGCTCAAGAAAAAATAATTCAGAAAAAAAGAAGCAACAAAAGAAAAAGCATAACAAATCATTTTCAATAATAACTACACAAAATAATACGATAATCAAAATACAAGAAACAACAGAGAATTAAGGACAAGGAACTAGGGGAGCAATACTACGACTACTAAGATGGACGAATAGCGAGATATCACACTATTACCTACTAACCTATTATCTTAATCAATGTCCTCTACAATTTCTTATCTACAATCATATCCTCATTAAACTTTATTAGATATTTTGCTTAATACATATAAATAATTCATTCAAAATCAATTAAAAATTCATAAATTAAAATATTGAAATTTTATCTAGGATGAGGTGGGGTGGGGGGTAGGGTGAGTTTGAGCTGGGAGATGTGAGTGATATGATAGGTGGGGTACCTTATGCTCTTGAGTGAGAAATTGAAACCAAGGTATGGTCAATAGGACATTTGAAGCCATGAGGGGGAGACAGAAAGAAAAGAAGGGTTGATGGAAAATAGCAGAGAATATATTTCATAATTTTCTTTCTAAGTTTAGTTCTATATTATATAGTATATTACATTATTGGTGTTGCTTAACCAGTGATGATATGTTATTTATTGTATTTTTCAAGTTTCAAATTATGCTTGCTAATTACTTTTTGTTGTTGCCTATAACTTAAATTTTATATCACTTACAATATTAGGTACGCATAATATATAAAAGTGTTTTCTAACTTTGCCTTAACTAGTATTTATATCCTTCAACTTTGAGTGTACATAAATAAGCACTTAAACTTGTATAAAATTGAGCAAATATAGATGCATTGTCCTATGTGGCATCCTATGTGGCAATTTTGTGTCCTATGTGGCAACCTACGTATATAATGTCACATAGGACGTGTGTGACTGTTTATTCAATTTTATACATGTTTAAGTGTCTACTTGTCCACACCTAAAATTAAAGGATAAATATCAGCTGAAGCGAAGTTAAAAAACATATTTATGTATTATGTCTATTGGATAAAATCCGAATGATTATTTAGCTTTTTATTTAGATTCTATGTTTTAAAAAATCTATTAAATGTAGACAAATATTTATTTATGAATTGAAACTAAAAAGAACTATGAGTTTAATTAAAGACTTTAATTTCCAATTAATAATATTAGAAATGCAAATGTTTCATTTAAGTGGAAGAGTTATGAAAGTCAAAATACACATTGATATAGTCCATCACTAATACTTTTCTAAATAGTACTTCATGTTTTCTTCCGTTCTTCTCGTAGAATTACACTGAATATGGTATTATACATGTTTGCTCTTGTGATTTATGGTATTGTTTTTCCTCAATGTTTTTTTGCTTCTTTCTCCGCCTGCAAACATGTCAAGTTTCAGAATGCGAATTAATGACTCGATTTTAAGATATGATGTAAATATTATTTATCATGAGTTATCTATCATCACATTCTCTCTTTCTTTTTTTCTAACGATACTGTCAATGCATAAAAATTAAATTGATTCGAGAATTCGTACCGCTCTAACCACCTTGTCAAAGGCATCTGGTCCATACTTCTCTATATATCTTTCAACAGCTTTCCTTGCATCAAGACTCATCATTTGGAGTGCTTTCCTTTGATTTTGTGGATAATTTGAGCTAACATGGCTCCCAACTTTAACATGTTTTCTTATGAAATTTTCATGTATATAAGCTGCTCCATGGAAAATTGGTAGCACCAGCCACATACAACATACAAGTTTGATGAATGGCCAGAATGGTAGCCTGAAAATTGAAGTAAAATCGTTAATTCGTCGTTAAATTGCTTGTAGCTAACAGAATATTATATGACAATCAGTCGCTAATTCGTCACTAAATAGATTTAGTGACGAATTTTTATTGTTTTAGCTACACAATTTGTCTGTCGCTAATTCATGTTGTTTTTAGTACTAACTCGTTTAGAATGCATTCAGAATGCATCTAATTATAAGGATGTAGTCTAATGATCGACGAAGGTTGAAAAATCATAACAGAGACGAATATTTGAATTTCAATGCAAAAAAGAAAGTTATTATTAGGTGATTTATTTTTATTTTTATCTAAAATTTGATGGGCTAAGTTATTCACATATAATGATTTGGAGCCATAAATTCTAGCAAGAGAATTAAAAAATTACAAGAATTCCACACTTAGGAATGTTATAGAAAAAGTTTAATTTTTATTCCATTTATTTAATCAATATTACTTTTCAAGAGAGGGGTATCAATTGAACTCCCTACAAAAAGGGGTAGACTATTTGTCACTAAAAACAAAAATTCATCACTAATCATATTTAACGATGGATTATTTTTTTAAAAACCATGTTAACTATAGGTTATTTAGTGATATATCATCAACGAATTTCATAGCTAATTAGATTTCCAGTATAGAATGATTGAGATATATATGTACGGACAAATGGTAACAATAATTTGATCAGAATATAGAAGTTATTGTTACCATTGGAGGACTTTCCAGCAAGACAACTCAAATAGAGTTATGAATGAATAGAGAACCCAATAGGTTAACCATTGTTGATCATCTAATGGTGAAGGGCTCTCAATTGCTCTCATAGAAGAATACCTTCAATATTCAAGAACAATAGTTAACATATGATGTTTGTAATTTTAATATGGTTAAAAATAGATCTGAACTATAATTTTTTCGTGAGTTTCATATTTTGACTATTAGTTGTTTTTTTTTTTTACGTGAACTATCACCTTGTATGTATCAAAACACACATAATTGAGTAGATGGTGATAGTTCAAGTTGAAAAAAGAACAACTGATAGTTGATCTAGCCAGCTTCAATATGTGTTATGATAGTTCAAGTTGAGAGAGAAAATAACTAATAGTTAGAGTATGAAACTCATGAAAAAATGATAATTCAAATGTTTTTTCATCATTAATTAATTAATAATTGATCAAATTGCAACTTACAAAGGATAGAGAAGCATCACTCCAGGGCTGTTAAGAAAAAAATAGAGAAAAAATGAAAAGTTAGGTCTTAATTTACTAAAAAAAAAATCCCCATAAAATAAAAACTTTAATTCTCTATAGGAGGTCATTATTTTATGATCATTCACTACATATCTAACCCAAAAAAACGGAAAAGGAAAATAAGATAAAAGAAGATTTTTTTAAAATTAGAAAGTAAATCCAAAAAAAAAAAAAAAACATGCATGTTGAACTTATATTTTTGGGTTTCTTATATAGCATAGCAGTCTGTCAAAATAATAACCTACAAATATATATACACACACATATAATATACACAATTTATACATAACTAGGTTATCTTCTTCTTCTTCTATATATATATATATGGTTAGCAGTTTATAATTATTTTTCGCGGGCATCCAAATATGTAACTTTTACATGTATTTTTTTTTTACAATACAACAAAAATTTGGGATAGTGTTCATCGTAAATAGATTGAATTAATAAAAAAGTTGATACAAAACAATGATATTAGCAAAATATTTATACGTATTATATAATTAAATTAAATTTGAGGGGATCAAAAAAATATATACATGTCGTTTCAATAATTAATAATCTACGAAAAATAAATTGAATTACCCGATTAATGCATTCAAACTTTTAGCAATAGTTCCAATAGCACCCATTGGAAAATACTTCTTTATTTTCCTCTTGCAAATTTGATCTTTTTATGTAGGGAATATGAGTTATTCAAATTAATTTGCAACATTTTATAAGTTAGGAATATTGTATATGAAAGCAATTAGCACAAGTAAAGGATATCTTTATCAAAGTATAGAGAAAGTCTTTTGTTCTCCTCCATGAAGGTATTGAGGGGGCGAATCTAAGGTATGAGGTGCGATTTTCGAGAATCTAGTTTTGTATTTATCTGATGAAAATCTAATAACAAAGGACGTTTTTGATTTAGCAGCAAAACAAAAACTTGTTCAAGTTTTCTTACTATCATCATGAATGCGAGTTCAATTCCCTTTGGACATTTAAAATAAATTATTTTTAATTTTTTTATTTAAAATTTGAGATCGTTAAATATTTATAAACTTTAAATTTTGAATTTGATTATTCTGCGATCATGCATGGTAAAAAAAAGAAGGTGGAATTTCCTTTCCTACTACACTACCTTTGCCTCTACTTCACGTCAACCACATGCAATAAAATGAATATTAAAGTAACATTTAAAGTCGGCAAGTTAACTTTTTTGTTTTCGTTATCGATGTATATTTAGTATATAACAAATGTATAATAAGTGTATCTAGTCAGACGTTTTTATTTCTTGCGTAAGTAAATTAAAATAGGGAAAATTACAGGGTTAAGTAAATTTATACTATTTAATTAGTCATCATAGCTATAGTTTGTTATAATTACCATTCGCGACTAACATTAATCATTAATTACGTGGGTTGACTACGAGTTTGTATAATTAGCCATGTTTTGATTAATTTGCAACAAACAATTCTTTGTTTGACTTGTATTTTGTATACGATAGTTTGTATTTGTATATATATATATATATATGATGAATATGGTTTCCTTTGATTTTTCAGTTTTATCACCATATATATTCAATCTTTTTAAAGTTTATATAAACGTGTAGTTTTTGGATTTTGTATAATATAATTTATATAATGTAATTTGTATAATATAATTTGTATAACTGTTTAAAGTTCATATATTTATGTTTGTATCAATTCGTTATTTTGAGTTTTATCATATTTGTATAATTCCAAACTTTGTATTACTCAATAGTACAAAAACACGCAAATTATACAAACGAGATGTGAATTATACAAATTATTGCCCTCTCTCGCTCACCTCTCTTCTTCCTCTCCCATTCTCACTCGCCTCTCTCCTCCCTTTCCCAATCTCGTTCGCCAGATATACAAATACATATGTATACTAGTTACATATATACAATTATTTTGACAAATATACATATACAATTCTCCTCTCTCCCACTCTCTACCCTCTCTCGCCCGCCTCTCTCCTTCCTCTCTCAATCTCGCTCGCCACTTTCCTCCCTTTAACATGTAGCTACGAATCGTAGTTAGTAAGCTATAGTTATGGAGAATAATTACGCTATTTTTGCGTGGCTATATGCGAAAGTTCCCCAAAAAAATATTGTAATAACATTATTGAAAAATTTATTTATATATATAACATGATGTAAACATCGGCTAATGCAATGCGCGATTAAGTTAAATACAAATATCCAATATGCATATGTTCTTAGAATCATGTATATTCCATACCTAATAAATAAACTAATTACGAGCTAAAACTTTCATTTGTGACAAGAAGGAAATAACATTCTTTTAAAACAAAGGAATTAATTGTGGGCTTTTGCTAGCCTTAGGCCTTTTTTCCTTTTCTTTTCGAATGATATTACACGTATAAATGTTCGATGAATCTAAAGCAATAGATTTGCAAGACTTAAGATTTTTTTATTTTTTTTTCTCAATTAAAAGAGAGAAGAGGAAGGGAGAAGCTTCTTTTCTATATCGTGTTGTTATTTGGTCACTAACGACCTAATTAGTCATAATTTTACTTCTTTATAGAGTTGATTTGTCTTCTCATCCAACTTGAGATCAACTATATGGATTTTTTGTCTTATTTACTCGTAGTCTTATCTCAGATAGAGTATTTTATGTGTTAGCTCAACTCCTATAAATTAAGGATGAACGCTCACGGTTTATGATAAGAATATCAATATATATAGGTTAAATTATTAGACGCGTGATGAAATTTAATTTAACAAAAGGTACCAAAAGAATATAAAATGTCATGGATTACCATCTACGTTGGCCTTATGCAAGATCGATGTGATTTCCTTTTGCATAAAAATTTTCTAATATTTAACTTATATACGTTAGGCACAATTTATTTCAGATACACTATATTCAATTGTGATTCACATGTATGTGGAGTATATTGAATTTCTCGCTCGTCTTTCTCCTATCCCGCTCGCCTCTCTCCCTATGTATCTGACTTGAAATCTGAAGGAGTGATGTATCTGATTTGAAATTCAGTACAAAATCATTAATTTGTAAGACAATACGTAATTATTTCAAACTATAGAGTGGATTCGTTCGTATGTTGTGTAATTACCAAATAAAAATCAAGAGTCAATTTGGGCCTTAAAAGCCCAAAACAATTGGCCCAATTAGTTGTTTCTCTTCGGGTTGGCGCCTTAGATCCATTTACCCAAAAAAAAACTTCACAACAATCCTTCACTCTCATCTCTTTCGTTTTTTCACACAGTTACACCTTCACTGTGTGATTGTCTTCACACACAAAAACAAACCCTAAATTCCCCTTCTTCTGTAACAACAACGCAAAAAAGTTCTTCAATTCTCGTAAGTTTCTCTCTCTTACAGTGTTTCTCTCTCCTGTTTACGCCATAGATGGTAGTGTTGTTGTTATAATTGGAGCTGTTGTTTATTTGGATATATGTTTAAAAACCCGAAGTCCGAATGAATTCTGGGTTATATGTATGTTTTCCCGATTCGATGTCTATAGGGTTTTAATTATTCTGCTTCTCCGACCCGACTTTAACCTAATATGGATCGGATTATGGGTTCGGGTTACTGGGTCGTGGTGACCCGGTTTGGGGAGTGCAAAATTGGGTATTGGGTTGAGCTCTTTACTCTTTGAATTTGGAGCATTAATTTGTGCGTAAAGTTTCCATTTTTTTTTGTTTGCAAATAATGCAGTGCTTGAGCTGAGCGTCTTTCTACCCTCCCCAGACCCCGTTTGTGGGATTATACTGAGTATGTTGTTGTTGTTGTTGTTGTGCTTTGTGAATTAAGAGTAATTTTGGTGTTTTGTTGGCTAGACTTTCGGTAGTGTGTAGTTTAATTATAAATTTCTTTTTGTTGTCTTTTGTGGTTTTGAGGATTCATGTGAAGCATAATGTAATAGATAACTTTGTCCACCAAGGCTTTTACAACATACTTGTTGAATTTTGCCTTTCAACATCTAATTTGTGGTTAAAGTTTCCATCTTTAGTTTGTGAACAATGTTGTGCTTTGTAAATTAAAACGAGTAATTTTGGTGTGTTCTGTTGGCTAGAATTTCGCGGGTGTGTAGTTTTATTAAAACTTTCTTCTTGTTGTCTTTGGTGTTATTAGGGATTCATATGGAGTTGAATGTACTCGGTAACTCTATTCACCAAGGCTTTTACAACGTACTTGTTGAATTTTGCCTTTCAACGTCTAATTTGTGGTTTTCCATCTTTGGTTTGCAAAACAATCTTGTGCTTTATAAATTAAAGAGGAATTTCGGTGATGTGTTGGCTTAGAATTTCTTAATCATAAATTTCTTCTTATTGTCTTGTGTGGGTTTGAGGAATCATATGGAGCAAAGTGGATATTGATGTTCATACTGCTGACCCCAACTAGTTTGGATTAAAGTTATAGTTGCCTCGTATTGCCTTAGGTGGGTAATTTGAAATTTAAGGGTTATAAATAGCAGCTTAATACACCTTCAGAAAAGCATTTGATAAAGCTGTATATTTTTATGTAATGTGTGCAAATTTGATAGTGTTATATTGTAATGTAAATGGTACAGAAGTCTGGTTTGATGTGATGTGTGCAAATGGGTGTTTTTCCAATGTAAATGGAAGAGAAGTCGGGTCTAGATTTATAGTGTTTTCTGTACTGTAAATGGTAGAGAAGTCCGGTTTGATGTGATGCGTGTGAATTTGATCTGTGTTTTTTGTAATGTAAATGGCAAAGAAGTCCGGTTTGATGTGATGTGTGCAAATGTGATAGGTATTTTTGTAATGTAAATGGTAGAGAAGTCCGGTTTGATGTGATGTTTGCGAATTGGATAAGGGGTTTTTGTAATTTAAATGATAGAGAAATCCGGGCTAGGCTTTTTGGTATCTTATATATACTGTGCCTCGCCCAAAAATTAGTCATATGTACCTACATTCTTTTTGACTATCCTAGCTTGAGGAATGGGCCTTAGTCATCTGTTTAGGTATGTGTCTAGAGTAGCAGCTTAAAAGAACTAACTGCAGAAGTCACATAGGTAATGCAACATTGTAATATTTGAAGTTTTGAAAACTTTTGGCAACCAAAAAGAAAGCTCTGTCAATTAGTGAATTTTTTTTTTTTTGAGAATGGTAACTTTTTCTTCTATTTATCCACAGGTATACTACATCAAAGTAGCCTCCCTTCCAAAAGTATTACAAACTAGACTGACTCCATCTGTGCTTTTTGTCACAAATAGTCTAAAACATCAAAAAGTTCTTCTGCCTGTATTTACACCAAAAATAATAAAGAGCTATACAATTCATCTTGAAATTCTGCAAATTGTTCATCTTTCCCTCAAAACATCTTTGACTCCTTTCTTTCTACACTGTCTACCAGGACAATCCTCCATCTCTCCTCCTTAATTGTAGTATTGCCAATATTGATCCAACAATTTAGGAGTTGTACTATGTTTCTTGGTTTCACCCAAGTGAAAATTTTTTGTCACATTAGCACACCAGACTTGGTTCAACAGGCAGGTTTTGAACTTGTGACATGAGTATGTTGTTGGACTACGCTGGATATGTTTTTGTTGTTGTTGTTGTTGTATGCTTAGTATAGTTTTTGGGCTAAGGGAATTGAATTGAACCCCTTCATGCAATATAGATGTACTTCCTTTTTCTCCCAAGTATTACTAATTATTTCTTTTTAGAGGTTGGTTTTATGTACAAGATATATATGGCGTCTTTGTGCTTGTGTGAATGACTCTACATTATCCCAATTGATAATTTGAAGAACTGTATGATTTTAATTAGTCTGTGTTATTGAAGCTTTGTTGTTTCTTCATTATTCTGGTTTAGATTTAATAAATTGTCTGTCATTTTCCTCACATCCCCTGAAAAATATCCCAGGTATTGCTACAGTACTGGAAGCAATGGAGATAGAGGAAGAAGCAGTCATAGTCAATTCTAGTAGGCTAAAATCTGTTGTGTGGAATGACTTTGATAGAGTAAAAAAAGGTGATACTTTTGTGGCTATCTGTAGACACTGTAAAAGGAAACTTAGTGGGTCTAGTACCAGTGGGACTTCACATTTGAGAAATCATTTGATCAGATGTCGTAGGAGATCAAACCATGATATAAGTCAGTTGCTGACACGGGGAAAGAAAAAGGAGGGACCTCTTGCCATCTCGAATTTTAGTTTTGATCAAGAGCAGAGAAATGGTGATGCAGTCAGCGTTGTGAGGACTAAGTTTGAACAAGGACACACAAGAGATGGGTTATTCAACAATGGGATTGTTAACTTTGATAACAGGCGAAGCCGGCTTGACCTTGCCCGCATGATCATATTACATGGCTATCCTTTGTCTATGGTTGAACATATTGGTTTCCGTATATTTGTCAGGAATCTTCAACCCTTGTTTGACATTGCAACATTTGATGGAGTTGAAGCCGACTGCCGGGAAATTTATCTGATGGAGAGACAGAAAGTATATGAAGAGTTGGACAAATTGCCTGGGAAAATCAGCCTTAGTGCTGATACATGGACTGCAAATGGTGATGCTGAATACTTGTGTTTGACGGCACATTACATAGATGACTCTTGGCATCTTAAAAAGAAGATTCTGAATTTTTTAACAACTGATCCTTCCCAAACAGAAGATATGCTGTCAGAAGTTATCATGACTAGTCTAAGAAATTGGGATATCGACCGAAAATTGTTTTCAGTGACATTTGATAACTACTCGACATATGACAAAATTGTAAGTAGAATCAGAGAGCAGCTTTGTCAACACAGGTTTCTTTATTGTGATGGCCAATTATTTGATACACGCTGTGCAGCTAATGTTATCAAGTTGATGGTCCAAGATACCTTAGAAACAGCAAGCCAGATAATCCACAAGGTCCGGGAAAGTATTCGGTATGTTCGAAGTTCACAGGCAACCCAGGAAAAGTTCACTGAGATGGCTCAAATTGCTGGGGTTGATTCCCAGAAGTGCCTGAATCTTGATAATTCATTTTATTGGAACTCAACTTATATCATGATTGAAACTGCTTTGGAGTACAAAGATGCATTTCCTCTTTTGCAAGAACATGATTCCCGGTATGCAATGTGTCCAACTGTGACAGAGTGGGATAGGATAAGTGCCATTGCTAGCTTCCTTAAGCTCTTTGTTGAGGTTTCCAATGTTTTTGCTGGAAGCAAGTATCCTACGGCAAATACATATTTCCCAGATATCTGTGATATTCACTTGCAGTTGATTGAGTGGTGTCAAAACTCAGATGATTTTGTTAATTCTTTGGCTCTGAAGTTGAAAAGCAGATTTGATGAGTACTGGAAAAAATGTAGCTTGGCTTTGGCGATTGCAGCTATCTTAGACCCACGATTCAAGATGCAATTGGTTAAATATTATTATCCACAAATATATGGTGATAGTGCTCTAGACTGCATTAATATTGTTTCAGATTGTATGAAGGCACTGTATAATGGCCACGCTATTTATTCACCATTAGCTCCTAATGGTCAAGCTGAAGCATCTCAAGTTGGTGGTGCTAATAATGATCGGCTGACGGGATTTGACAAATTCATCTATGAGACCTCAGTGAGCAACAACATTAAATCAGATTTGGACAATTATTTGGAGGAAAAGCTGTTCCCTAGAAAAGACGATTTTAACATATTAAACTGGTGGAAGGTTCACACTCCAAGGTATCCTATTCTGTCCATGATGGCACGCAATATTCTAGGAATGCCGATGTCAAAAGCTTCACTAGAGTATGTGTTCAACACTGGGAATAAGGCTCTTGAACCATATCGCAGTTCGCTAAGATCAGATACCTTGCAAGCTTTGATGTGTGCCCAGGACTGGATGCGTGATGAATTTGAAGGTCAATATTTAATAGTGTAGTTTCCAGTTATGACATAGTCTATATTAGCTATAAAGAATAATTCTGAATCTTTCTTCAACAGATTCGAAGGCTTCATCAAGCACTGTCACTCTGGCCCTGTGCTATGATGCAAAATAAGAGCAAGTCTTTGGTAAGCTTAGGTTGCCATTCTTTTGCGTTTATCTGTGTATATTAGCACCTACCAAATGGTCCCCCTCTCTCTATCCTTATGTTAAGATTTTGTAGAAATTAGTTCATTTGCAGATCTTGCTTTTCCAGAGCTCCCATAAATTAGTTCAAGATGAGTTCTTTTGTTCAAGAATCTAACAGCTTTTGCCATCTTAGCCTTCATCAATTGACTAACTTATCTGTATCTACTTCTCTTTTCTATTCTGTCCATTCTCGTTTGGGGTTCTTTACGGTATTGATCGTGTCAAGGATCATTCTGAATTAGTGTTAACTCATGATCATTATGGTCTTGGTTTGTTCATCTGAGCCAGAAGAAAGAAAAATTTGGGAGGTATTCTTGGATTTTTGCAGCTTTCGTGCCCACGCTCCAGCCTACCGGGAGATGGTATTGTCTGCTGTTTAGTATTTTTCAGCCTCTTGAGTTGGACCTAATAATGGTTGAAGATAGTGAGTTAATTAGTTAAGGGAAAAAGGAATTTTGTAGGGCTGTTGCTTATGATATCTTACTTGAACCATATAATATAATGTCTCTAATTTCAGTTTTTGAAATATTTATTATATTCTGACAAATAGGGTAAGAATTGTGATTTGGTAACAATATTTACAACTTAATGACTTTCAACTAATAGAATCTACACAATTGAAGAATACCAATTTCTCTTTATAAAAATATGTCCAGACAGGAAATATAAGAGATTCGGGTTAAATGTCACTTTTGGTTCCTCGGTTATTGATAAATTCTGATTTGTCGATACGTTTAACCGTTGATTATTTGAAATGTGCGCTTTTGATCTCATTGCTTATGAATATTCACGATTTTTCGGAATTTCTTATTGGTCCACCTTTAAAATTTTATATATCCATTTGTTACTTCTTCATATTCTTTGAGGGTAAGAAGTAACACATTTTTATAAATCAAACAATCTTGACAATATCAAACTTTTCTATTATCAAATTAGGACAATATTATTTCATGGCCTGGGTGAGTCTTCCTACGCGACAGGACGTCCGGTTATTTCATTTTTTATGACGATGTTTAATCATAAAACTCGTGATATTAAATAAGACGGGATATAGTTATGGTTATTAGAACATAATCATTAATATTAATGCTATGGAGAAAAAATAATCTATCTTTACTTCGTATGTTAAAAATGATAATCTATTTTTGAAATTGTGAATAAGTAAAATTAAACAGAGGAAATATCCCCCGAGGCCTAGCTCAAGTGGCAAAAGGTGGAGGATTTGTGGCTTACGTCGCAGGTTCAAGCCCCACACCATGCAAAGCAAAGCCTGGTATTTAAATGGAGAAGGGTAGAGGGGCGGGCTCATTATCCACCGAGTTTACAAGGCTGTGATTGGTCCAAAGGGCGGGTCACAGACAGATTTCTCGGTTATCAAAAAAAGAATTAAACAGAGGAAATAATGATTTTTCTTGACTATTACATCAATTGTCCAGGGGATTTTTTTTTATCCAGGGGATAATCTAAATTCTAATTTGTAGCAGTGTGTATCCTAGATAAGAGTTCATGCTAAAAAAAACGAATATGAACTATAATTTTTTTGCGAGTTTTACTCATCAAATATCGATTGTTTCCTATTTCTACTTGAACTATTACCATCTATGTATTTTTTTTTAAAAAAAAAAAACACCTCAACTACGAGTTGTTCCTCTTTTCATACCTAAACTATCACCATCCTTCAAGCAGGATAAGGGATTGTTGAGGTGTGTTATAATACATAGATGTTGATACCAGCTTGCAATCTGAGCAAATTTTCAACTTGTTTGAGACTCATTTGAAGGACTTGTAACTTAGGTTGCAAGTTCGAGCCATATGTCATGCGAACTAAGCTTGGTATTTAAGCGTAAAAGGGCAGAGAGGCGAGCCCATTATCCTCGAGTTTTGAAGGTTGCGGTTAGTTCTAAGGGGTGACTCTAGACGGATTTCTCTATCATAAAAAAAAAAAACGAAGATCCAATTCAAGTATTGATGGACTATGATGCATCTAATTTAATAAGTAATCCTTTTCTTGAGTCGAGGGCTATCAGAAACATCTTCTCTACCTCCCAAGGGTAGGGTTAGGTCCGCGTATACAGTACCCTCCTCAAGCCTTACACCGAGTATGTTCTTGTTGTATATAAAATCCTGCACTTTTTAAAGCATATATATAGCATGGTGGACCTAAGGTATAATATAATGTTGTACAACTCTTTCTTTATCAAAGTGATCATACCAAATGGATCGTTATTTTTCGTCGTGACATAACAAAAGATATACACATTAAATTGATATTTCACATATAGTAAAATCAACCTTTAAACAAAACTCACAAGAAATCATAATGAAACTGAAACATACTTGCAAGATTTTAAGGTGAACATGATACAAAGTTCAAGCTCTATCAGTCTGTTGGGATACCTTAGTAAGAAAATGTTCATACGTAGAATCAGAATTATTGACACGAGCCTTCATTTCAAGCTCTAGGCTTGAATGGACCCTCGTTGGCTAACTTAAATCGCGCTGCCTGAGCTGCAGCAGCCTTGTTTGAACTAAGTGCTGCAACAAATTTTTCCCTAACTTGTTTGGTAGTATAAGGAAACTTCTTGTTCACCATGGAGTTCAGCAAGGAAGCTGTACCTTCTCTGTAGAGTTCTCCAACACCATCGGAACGAGTGTTTGTAAGTGCTTGCAGGAGGTTGAAGTTTGATCCGAGCCCCGGAGCAGCAGCTACACCAAATGCACTACCAACAGTTGCCCACCAGCCAAACAAGCCCCATATTAAAGCCGGGTTAGTCCTCCAGTAACTACAAAAAAATCATAATATTTCATGTTAATATGTTACATATTTCAATTTTATAGAATGTCCCTGTGTAATGTGATTTACTTACTCGATCGAGAAAGGTGGTGAGTTAGGATCGAATAGAGGTGGAGGTATGTAGATAGCAGGGGTGCCCGGGTTGATGATGGGGGTAGTTGGTGGGAAAAATATGGGAATACCGGGGGTACTAGGTGTAGGGAAAGTTGGAGGGGAGGGATAGTACCCGCCCAAAGGTGGTGAATTGGGGTCAAATGGAGCTGAAGGAGTGAATATAACAGGGATGCTCGGAGTGTCAGGGCCGATGATAGGAGTAATTGGTGTGGTAGGGGTACCATAAGTTGGAGGGGATGAGTAGTACCTGCCCCCTCCAGAAGGTGGTGAATTGGGGTCAAATGGAGTTGAAGGTATGGATATATCGGGAATGCTCGGAGTGTTAGGGCTTATGATAGGCGTAGTTGGTGGGGTTCCACTATCAGTTGGAGGGGATGGATAGTATCCGCCCCCTCCAGAAGGTGGTGAATTGGGGTCAAATGGAGTTGAAGGAGTGTCAGGGCTTATGATAGGAGTAGTTGGCGGGGTTCCACCATCAGCTGGAGGGGATGGATAGTACCCGCCCCCTCCAGAAGGTGGTGAATTAGGGTCAAATGGAGGTGATGGTACAGAGATATCCGGAGTGCTCGGTGTGGATGGGGTACTTGGAGGGGATGGCGGAGAGTAACCACCTCCAGTTCCTCCCGAAGGAGGAGCTGGGGTTGGAGTATGTCCGCCGCCCCCTCCACTTGGCGGATTATCACAGCCAGCATGTGATTTTCCGCCACGGGTACTGCTCCCATGTGGAGGTGTTTTTCTAGAGCCACCACTTCCTGAGCCATGTGATGGAGGTGTTCGCGAATCTGTCATAAAAATAAAAAATAAAAAATTTGATTCAAAAAGTCGAAAATAGTAAGTAATAAACTAACAAAAAGAGTGAATGAAATATTAGAGACTTTTTGGAGGAGTTCTACAAGAAATGACCAAATTCTGCATGAGTAATGCAGCAACAGTAGCCCACAGGATTAGAGAAGTCTGTTTGCTTCTTTTCTTCTCCATCTTGGTTTGCTCTCAAGGGAACTGAATGAGAGAAAAGAGAGGGGGTGGGGGGGTTAAAGAGTTTAACTGATGTATAGTGATACAAGAGAAGAGTTGTATATAAAGAGTAACGAGGATGTACGTGTGTTGGTGGAGGTAGCATATATATCCTGTGAAATTAGTCAAGGTGCGTGTAAAGTTTTATGAACACCATGGTTAAAAAGTTTAATTGATGCATAGTGAAACAAGAGAAGAGTTGTATAGAAAGAGTAACAAGGACGTACTTTTGTGTTGGTGTGAGATAGTAAGTATTTCGTGAAATTAATTAAGTTGCGCACAAATTAGCCCGGATACCACGGCAAAGGCGTTTAATTGATGGCTAGTGATAAAAGAGAAGAGTTTGCATATAAAGAGTAACGACGGCGTACCTATATTGGTGGGAGATAGCAGGTACTCTGTGGAATTAGTTGAGGTGTGCTCTAACTGGTCCGGACACCATGATTGAGGAGTTTAATTGATGCCTAGTGATACAAGGGAAGAGTTGTATATAAAGAGTAATGACGACGTACATGTGCTAGTGGGAGGTAGGACGTATTTTATAAAATTAGTCGAAATGCACGTAAACTGATCTGGACACCACAGTTAAAGAGTTTAATTCCCTAGTGATACAAGAGAAGAGTTTTATATATATATATGAAGAGTAACGACCACATATATACATGTGTTGGTGGGAGATAGTAACGACTTTATGTAATTAATCGAGATGTGCGTGAGTTAGTCCGGACATCACTATTACTAAAGAACAATAAAGAGTGATAAGAACAGAAGTTGTTAAATATAAATGAAAGAGTATGAGGTCAGCTACATATGTTGCAGGTTGCATTTAAGGTCTCATTTAAATCTCACATAGAAATACATGGACAAATGTACTTCATCACTCTAAAACATATATCCTAGTTATGTAGAATTAAAACGTATCGCTCATAATGGTGATTATTTAAATAAATCGAGTCCTACTACTAAGCCTACCAACCCCTTCTCTTTCACTTGATACAAAGCAATCGAAGTATATATCACCCTATAGATCTCAAACTAGCGACGGCATATGAAACTCCACTACTACATTTGTCCTTGCCACATGCCTCCTATAATTATCACTCATCTACGCTCTTCCAACTCATCTTATACAATACGATGTAATACGTGAAAGCAGCTGAGTCATAGCTCCTCGATCGTTATATTCCTGCGATACCAAAACCTATATATGTATATAATTATGTATATACATCCTGTAAATGCAAGTAACTATAGAAAAATGATGTTACAGAGAACATATAATATAACCTAACATGAAAAATTAATTCTGAAAAAACTTAACTGTTATAGTGAAATATTCGTATAGAGGATAACTGTTATAAAGAGGTCAGAATGTCATGGTTCTCAAGAGTCTAGTGGCACTCTCTATAAGTTCCTTTCGTTTTCTATTTTTTCTCTTGTTAAAAGAGATGGAGAAAAAAAAAGGTAAGCATGTTAAACTGGACTCCGTTCACTTTTACTTGTCATATTTCGCTTTTTGAGAGTCAAATTGTGTATGAACTTTAACTAATATCTCTAAAGATTAGTTAAGTTACCTCTCATAAAATGAAATGTGACAAGTAAAAATAAACGGAAGGAGTAATAACTTTCTTTTAAGTAGTATATGAGAGTTTCCACAAAGGAAACACTTGGAATAAAATTGCATGTGTAAGACTAGTTTTGAGCTGACATGAGTAATATGAGACTTTATGCCTTCTCAGACAGGGTAGGTGAATGAATACACATTCAATTGTTGTGTAGTAAATGATAAAAGCAAAGTTAATTGTCAAACTTTGCCCTCCCATGGGACTTTGAGCTTTTAAGTATTTTTTGTCTTTCTCTCTATGTCAAAGTTACTTCTGGTAAGGGGCGGATCTATAGTGTTGGTTACAGGGCAGAGCTAGGTGGGGGTTCGTGGGTTCGGATGAACTCAATAGCTTTTTCGTAGACTTTATATTTGTACTAGAAAATTATGTAATAACTTGTGAACCCCTAACAAAACTAATTGACAACTCAATGGTAAGGAAGGGAAAGGAAATTTAGAACCCTCAAACTCTTAATACTGGCTCCGCCTCTGATTGGTTATATAGGTTTACGTGAATTGAATAATTGTTGTTCCGACCTTGTGTATCTATGAAGAAGTTTACTAAATATTTGGTTGTAAATTAAGTTGCGTTATTATTATTATTGTATTTAATTGAATAATTTGGAAAAGTTGTAAGAAGTCATAAACTTTAAGGTTTGAATATCTACGACTTTATTTATTTTTTTAAATGGTGTTGCGGTTTTATATCACTAGGCCACTTCCCCATTTTTCGGCTCGAGGCCTTCCTCAATGGGTTCTAATTTTGATAAGAATGGCGGCAATCTGAATCAATCAAAAAACTTATTGATTTAATTGAAGAAAATTAAGACGATTAGCTTAGCTAGTATGTCGAGGAAATCTAGTTATTTAATCCATTCATATTTATCTCTATAAAAGCAAAGTATAAAACTTCTACTTCCCAGCTCGAATTCATAACCTTGTGATTTTGCAGTAATAATTTTACCAATTACAACAAGACTCTCCTTTAAAATATATATCTAAATAGTTCAAATAAAATAAAATAAATTCATTTGAAACAATAGAACTCGTCTTAGATCCGCCTTTAATTAAAGGTAAGCTCTAGGAAATGAGAAACATAGGCTGCTATAGACCTGTACTCAATTCGAGTTGTAATAAATGTATAGGGATGAGACCATCATTAATATGAGGAAACAACCATTCCCCTTGGCATTACTTGCACATATACTTTAACTTAAATATATGATACCTGAAATTAGACTCGAATAAAAAAAATGCTTATTAGTATATGTGTAGGGACTTTAAATAGAAATGACTAAACTTCAGTCATATATGACTTGAGGGTGAAGTTCATGCAAATATGATTAGACTTCAATTATAAGTACCTAAATATCAGCCAAGATATCATATATACACAAGTAATATTGGATATACGTGCACTTTGCCAACGAGCTACTTACGTTCATTTGACGAAGACTTTTGATTAACGTTGAAGAGATTTGATCTGTCACACTTCTCTGGCAATTAATATAAAATGTGTATAGAATGACCAAATTTCCCTTTTTAATCATTTTTTTTACCAAATGTGAGACATTCAATGTTGTGTTGGGTGCTTGCTTGGGATTGATGGGATTAATTGACACATTTGACTTTGAGTATTGGAAGGGGTGTTTCTCTATGCATTTAAGTTACCAAAGGTTCAAAATTTTATTTTTTTTTAAAATAAAATTTAAGTATTCAAAAACTACATCAAATGTACTATATAAGTCGCAATTTTTCACATCTTCTGCAATGAGACTATTCTTCTAGATTATTGATGATGCTTTTTCATATTCAATCAGAAAGCAAGTACAATGTTTTCATGTGAATTACGTTACTCGAATTTTTCAAAAATGTCAGCAATGTGTGTCAACATTTTTAGAGAAGCAGATATAATTGCAGCAGCATTTTTGAAGAGTCTGAACAACATAACATGTCAAAATGAAAACAATAGACTAATCCCTAATATAACCATAGAAATCCAAGCTAATCAAGCATTAGACTTTCATTTTAGTTTAAATGGCAATAGATGGCAAGTATAATGTATTCATGGCAGCTATGTTGCTCATTCGGACTCTTCAAAAATGCCACTTGTTGTGTGATAATCCTACTTTTAGAGGATCCAATATGGATACAACACCATTTTTGAAGAGTCCGAACAACATAACATGTCAGAGAGAAAACAAAAGATTAATCCCTAATATCCAATGACCATAGACATTTAAAGCTAATTGAGCATTAGATTTTCATTGAATGGTCAAAAACTCAGAAAATATAAACCTGAGTAGCTTATATATGCAAAAAAAAATACTTCATCCACTATGAATAATTGCTACTATTGTCAAAATATGATACAAAGCTTGATATGCTTCGCGGACCGATGGCTTCATTCCCTACTTAAGGAACAATGTACTTACAAAAGTTCACATGTTCCAGAAAAACACAAGGAACAGAAGATTCAACCAGGTTTAACAGCTGAACGCGTCGAAACTTCTGAATCAAGCTCTACTCCTACTTCTCTATCTAACCTGCAATATATAAGTCAAGAACCAGTCAGGAATCGACAAAAGGAACACAGCATGGGGTCACATAACCATAGCAACTGAATAGTTGAAAACGGATTAACGCTTTATCTTTAAGAAGACAAATAAATGGGTCAAGCATCACGAAAGTCTCAACAAATCCATACACCCTTTTTCTCCAACTCTACGCCCAATATGAGGTTTCTGCCTTTGGCATTTATGTTCTATCGAAAACCTCTAGTAATTCGGAGCCTTTTCCAAATTATCCAACTTTTTCCTCTTCAACGTGGACAAAAAATAACCTTCTGCATTCTAGTCACCAACCATCTCATAAAGATATGTTTAGTTCTCTGTCTCCACCTATAAAGAGCAAAGGAATACTATGTTTTGCCTCTTCTCTCGAGTCTTGCCTTTCAACTCCTGTTTTCATTCCCGGAAAATTTAGGAAGATCATGAATACTAGATTACTCAACTGTCTATCCCTCCAACAACCAGTATACGAATTCTAGAATTAGACTTGCAGATAAAGAAAATTGTAAGTCCTTTGCAGCTGAAGGTCATATGCATCAGAAGAATTTCGACCTTCAGCAAGAGAAACTTTTAACCTCAAACATGATCTCTACTGTAGTCATTAATATCATTGAGCACTCTTATATCCTCTAGTGAAATTGAGAGAAGTAGTATCATCAAGATGTTTGAATAAACCCAATACCTTGGTGCAAAAGCTGTAAGCGCCTTCTTCAAATTCGCTAATGAGTGAATATCCAAATAACGAAAACACGAAATTCCTCCAACTTTTTCTAAAGGGGTTAACTTTCCTCCTATTATGATCTACTGCTCCAAAGTTGCTCATTTTTATAAC